AACCCAGCTCTAAGAATTGAGCCACCCTTGGCCCTTGTGCACAGCAAGCAGAGCCCCGGGTGGATGCCAGCCAGCAGAGAACTGTACTAGATACCACATCGTAGCATGCAGGATTCCCCTGTGCCTTAGCAAAACTGAGCAAGACCTCACGTACTACAAGTACAAACAATAAGCAACACCTTAAAAAAAAGGAACTAAGACCTCAGTGCTTAATTCACAATGATCTCCATTGTCACTCATGCTGTACAGATGGAGAACGTTAAACAACTTGTACACGTGCACACAATTGCACAACGTGCGGCACAGCCAGAAACGGGGTTGCATGTGTTTTCTGAGAAGCATTAACCTTTAAAAAATCACCTTAAATCATGTTAAGAAGTTATGAGAATTTAGTGCTTCTTGAGAAATATATCGAAAGGTCCTGTAACTTCAATTAACTATGTACCATCTGCATCAAATTGCTACTGTATATACTACATGACATTGGTGCAGGAGAATTAAGCAAAATGCAACTAACAAAGAGGGATACAGAAGGAAGATGAAGTAATCATTTTTTGTCCTGTATTTTGAAGAAAACGGAAGGAAAGAAGGAAGCAACATACTTGTCACATACCGTATATGTCTATGATCTTCTCCAAGGCAAAAAGGGTGACAGAAATTGAAAAGTTTGTAATGAGGTTTCATTAGTCAGAATCAGATGACAGCCTGTGATCTGATTAGAGCCACACCAAAAACAACTTGGCTGGTGCTCACTAAGTTCGTTTCAATCACAGTTTAGGTGAAAGCATTTTACTTTATATTAAACCCTGGCAATACAAACATAGCCAAGTGCTGCACATAAGCTGAGGAGCAGGTAACTAATAGCTAGAAGGGAGGTAACTTTTCCAAACACTCTGAATAGGCCTAAAGCAGCCATCTGATTATATCCTTCAGCAGAAACCCAGAAAATAAGAAGGACAAAACATTGAAGACTGGCAGCTGAGGAAAAGAAGGATAATTCACTTTGGGAATGTGTGAAACAACAGAGGCAAGCACAAGAAAAAGTTTTATGTAAAGAGTAGGTTTTAAAGAGGAACTGTAGATCTGATCCAAGGGCCCTGGAAGGCAATAGAAGGTCTTCTGTTGACTTCAATGGGTTTTGGATCAGCTCTGGACATGGAGGGGAAGGGCCTGGGGCTGGCACGGAGAGGCATGTTGTGGGGAGACTGGAATGCAGCTGCGAATAGGCGGAGGAAGCAAACAGGAGCGTAGGGCTGGAATGCAGATGCAAAAGACACATGGGTTTTGTCTGTATGTCAGAGAAAAATAACCTGCAGGTTGGCTTGGGTTAAAGCTTGGGAAAAAGAAAATGGAGGAAGGCGGAAGGCAGGTTACTATTTGAGCTGAACCAATAGACCCATAGTTGGCCTGGTGGCAGCTGCGTGTGAAATACCACATTCCTCCCCTGAACGTGCTCCCAGGAGGAACAGGATGTGGACGCTCTGCTAAGAGGCAGAGCTGCTGAGCTGTTTGCTGATGCCGTCCCAGGGTTAGATGGGGGAGAACAGAAGAGGACAAATGGAGATACATGGAAGAACAAAATTATACCTCTCAACTGCTTATCTCTGTCTGTAGTAGTTATATGGGTGTCCTGACTGTTGTGGCTGAACATATATCTATTGGAAGTGCACGGGAAACAGATGCCTATGTTGTTTATACACTCATGAAAATTCCTGTTAGGTGCATTAATACCTTTGCAAACCTGGTTCAAAGTGAACTTTAGGACAAGGCAGAAGCAGAGAAGTGATTAGAACCCTGATTTTTCCTGAGCTCAGTCTAGTGCCCCAGCATACAACTATCATTTTAATTTTAATACTCAGTTTAATCTCACACGGGCAGTATTTGCACAGACCCTCAGTGTAGGGCTGAATTTCATCCTTTTCTGCTTCCTTCTTTTAATTAAGCAGGTAGCACTTGAGTTAAAAATACCAATATTCTAGTTATTAAACGTTGAGACAAACTTGTCATCCAATTTTATCCCCCCATGAGTACGAAAACTGCTCACTTAGACATTGCACAATTGTTAAGGGGTTTCACAAAGTCAGAAATGGCTTTCCTGTCAGCTGAGACCTCGCAGATACCTCTTTGACCACCTCCGGGGGAAGAAGCTACAAACAGACTATTACGGAATCGCTGAAGCAAGGGCCGAAACATCAAATGCTTCTCAACTCACAAAAGGAAATTACATCCAATTCCCTTTCAAGTCTACCCAAGACCTTCACCGCATCACATTCCCTTCTTAATGCCAGCTCTTTGTTGGGATGTTGTGTCTATTCATAAAGTAACTCTCCTTTATATACTGTTCGAAAGCACAGCTTATTAAGAACATTAGCTTAGGAGATTGGTGGGGTCAGTACATGGTTTTCAAGTGCGTCACACAGAGAGAATGAGCTGAGATAAATGCTTGGATAGCGGCCACTCATTTTTAAAACCAGTTGTTCACAGTTATTTTTCCTAATTATTTTTGTAAGGCAAAGATGTAGTCCAAGAATGCACGGCTTATTTCCATTCACATAACATTTAAAATACTAAGTTGCCTACCTTTTAGACTAAGCTTTATCGTTACAGAACTAAAAAGACACCAACATAAATCAAATTACACAGCTCCTCTCCCATGCTCGCTGCAACTGAAATGAACACCTTGACAGGGGTATGTCCAAACCCCTCAAACAACGCTTCATGAATTCTTTGCCTGAAGTGCTCTTTCATAACTTGGGATGGCGACATGGTTTGGTGTGGTATGTGACTTTTCTTACAGAAAGTAAGCTCACTCTGTCTTCAAGCTGTAATGTCCCAAAGAAGTTGCTACCAAAAAGCATTCCTGTCCCGGGAGTTGCAGCTCTGTCCTGGGAAGGCTCAGCTCCCAAGGCACACCAGGGAGTCGGAAGGACCATCTAAAAAGACGTCCTTTGTCAGGGCACAGCGCTAGCTAAAAACAGTGTTGTTGTAATAGCAGATAGGAGATTAATATTGACCCAAGTTATGATAACGTTGCTGCAGCTCACCCCAACTCCTCGGTTCCAGTCCTGCAGTGGAAAAGAGGTTTGAGGGTAGTTACCAGGACTCTAGCAGACAGATGCCCTTTTCCTCTCTCAGGCCCTCTTCCTGCCACTAAATCCTGCTCCAGGGGCTCTCAATCACTTGCAGAGACCATTCAAACCCAACATTACTCATGAAGAACACCAGCACATCTCGGAGCAGGCTTGGAGGCCAGACAATGTGCCTGGTGTACATTTACTCGTGCGAAGGAGTATTTTACACTTCCATATCCCCTGTAAAAATGTCCTGCTTCTGCCAAAGCAGCGCATACTCTTCAACAGACCAGAATAAATGATTCATAAAACGCAAATGCTGAAGGAAGACCCAACAGCTAAATGGCAAGAAAAGCTGCACATAGGGTTTGTATGTGCAACCAGCCCAGCATCTCTCAGAGCAACTGAAGCCAAAGCAACATGCTTGGGGTGCACTGCTCTCTCAGGAGATGATAGGAAGTTATTCTGCACTCAGCCTCCATCACCTACACCACTGCAAAGCAATGCAAAGGGACGTGAAGCTCCCCTGCTTCTGTTCAGCAGCATTTTACACCCATTTTAAAATCACTTTGCCTCACTGTAAATGGCTAAACAAAATAAAGACACACAGATAATCAGGCTCATCTTAGAATTAATTTTTACTATTAAATTAGCAATTCTACACCAAAGTTGATTATTGCAATCAGCATTGCATATAAGTTGTTTTTAATTAGTACGATTCTATTCTTAAAGAAAGCTCAGAGCCCATTTGTTGGCAGCTCCCAATCTGTCCCAGAATGTCTGGAGATTTAGCAAAATCTAAGGGGGTTTGTATTTACAATTTCAGATTTCAATGTTCAAAAAATCAGAACTTTTCAACGCATACCTGAGACAAGATAGAAATAGTTATCCAATAAAACTTACATTAGAAGTGTAAACTTTTGTTACTTAGTTATGGCAGTAAAAATTCTCCTGTAGATGTATATAGATAGATTTATTTATTTATAAATTAATGTAATACATGAATATTACTGTGTAATGTGTATTGCTAATATAAAATTATATTCATATACTGCAGTATACAGCACGATCCATTCTAGTTCTATGTATTCTGTAATACCTATTCTAACACATGAGAAGTTAAACACCTATAAAGTGGTTCTATATTGATAGCTGTGGCACCAAGAAGTGCAAAGTACTATTTTATTACAACTAGCTAACTCAGCGTTATAAGCTTCTAGCATAGACTTTTAGAGTATTATTCGACAGGTATCACACCTTGATTGCTCATTTGTCTGCAGCGCCTTTTATTTAGACATTATCACATGAACCTCAAGCAAACATTACTAATATAGATGGAAGAAGCAGAAAAGGACCTACTCAGTGTTTATATTCTAGGTATGATTCACAGATACAGAATTACATGTACCTTTACTGGTGCTCTAAACCCTTCCCTTTCGTACAAATTAAATGGTAATCAGCAAGAACTGAAACACGTATTTAACACCAGCCGTGAGTACCTGTTTTATCTTAAACCTCTTGAAAACTTTCCCATTCCTTGAGCCACTAGTGGCACCCACTGTTTCTATTGTAGCTTTTTACCAGCCAGACTATAAAAAGACAACATTAGCACCACTCCAATCTCCCTCCTTATTTATGTATTTCTATTTTTCCTGATGAACAGTTTTAGGGAACTTATTTCAAAGAAGTAATCAATATATCACAATTCGTGTGACATTAACTAACCAGCAGGAACTTCCGCTTGCTGTAACACTGTGACTCGAAAATTGTGCAACACCTTTAGTAAACACTTCCTCATATAGGAACAAGAATAAAGCTGAACAACTCCCTCTCATTCACTGCACAAGAGAGAGCTGCTCAAAGCAGAGACAGCCTGGGAACCCAACTTTCCCAGACCACGGAGACCACGGCTAGACAAGTGCAACTGAGATGACTAACATACTTCTTGTTTCTGTTGCTTTGCTACATTTTCTCCAACAAGGTATGGCTTTTTTTTTATCCTTTATCAGTGATTGCTGGGGATGTACAGCTTTTATGAATTTTTAATTATTAACATGTAGGTAATACTGAAGAACAATGAATTAAAGCCATTGAAAAATGGTATTGCTGAAGTTAGGGATGTTTGCTTTTTTCTCTTTCTGTTCAAAGAGATTATCTAAAATTATCTAGTTAGAAAATTAGTCACTTTTGTGAAAACTGGCCATAGATTGCCTAAAGACCCAGTTAGTTTTGCGAGCCAATTAAGTAAGTACTTCCCCTGCAAGTGAGCAGAGAATTTATCCAATTGGGACAACTTATTACACTGACAGCATTTTGGCTGTAAAAGAAAAGACTTTTATTTGAATTCCATTAATGACATTACCTGAATTAAAATAGTTAGCACCCTTATTATCTGTGTGATACTTCAGGTTATGAGTATTCATATGACTTAACCTTAACAGACCACACTTTTTTTTCCACATGCATTGTTTCTTTCAATTCATGTCAACAGGGAACAGATTTTTTCAGAGCTTGGCATGCACAAGCATGCACAGGTTTTCTATGCGTAATTAGACATGTAATTTGTATTCAGGCAGGTATCTTTATGATTTCATTAGTTGCACAGAACTTAGTTGCTTAAGGTGTTATATATTTTGTTTCTTGACAAAACCAAACCTTCATTGTCAATGAAATCCTCACTAACGATTTTTCTTCCTGGTTTAGGCTCTTGGAAAAGTACATAATTATTTGTTCCTTATTAGCACTTTTTCTAGCTGTTGTACAAGGCCCAAAGAACTTCTTTCCTCCTTAAAGCTACTGACTCAAGACAACGCCTGAAGCAAGACAAAGACAATATACTGAGTTGATTAAAAAAACTATCTCTAAGAAACTATTTGTTCCAGAACAAAACTAACCTGTTTTCCTCGAAATCGTGTTTGTATCACACTGCAGGAAAAGGATAAGTTTAGTTCTGAGTCTCCATTCAAATCTAGCCTAAACTTGAACCACCTGGGCTACAGCTGGCCTTGTAAAAAGAGTCTGCAACAGGGAGTGGATAAATAAAATTGGAGCACAGAACTCTGTTCCGAGAGGCCTGAAATATTACTGTGATCATTATGTAAGAACGTACTTTAAGCTTATGGAAAGACTAAATCTGCAAAGCAAAACATTTTTTAGAAGTAAACATAATTAGTTGCTTAAAATAAAATATAAAATATCATTGTAAATTACAGTAACAAACTTGCACTTGGTATTTGCTAACAGCATCTGCATGGACAGTTACTGTGTACTGTGTAATGGCTCAGCTGATCTGTGATAACTTCTTAGGACTTATTACCATTATACCATCATGCCTTTCTCTGCAGCACTCAGCTTTGTCAAGATGCAACCAAGTTTATTCTGCAATTATTTTTGGAAAGGGTTTAATCAAATAAACCAGTTATGAAGAATTAATCTGTTTATTTTACTGGAACAATTTGCATGAGGATGTGCTCTGTTGGTCCAGATATAGAAAATTACAGTAATTGGATGCCCCACTCTTGTAAAAATCTGGCCTTGAGGCAGACAATTAAAATGGGAGTTGCACTCTCCCTTTGTTGTTTGTGGTTTGGTTTTTTTTTCAAATACAGGCTCTTGTGCTTGGTACTGAGCCCTCAAGAATTTGCCAATTCAGATGAAATGACCTTTTGTAGGAGATTAAAGTGCTTAGGGGGCATATAAAACCTGCTGTTGCCTTGTTGGAAACTAACACATCCCTTGTATGACCCTGTTTTCCCAAATGCCGTACACCAGCTGCTATTATTAACTTCAAATGATGCAACGTGTGCTGACCACCCCTGCAAGTCATGTCACAAATTAACTTTTGCCAATATTCACTCAGGCTCAGAAGCAGAAAACAAAAAGAAACACTTTTCATCAGCACTGTATTTCCTCAACAAGTTCTTTACAGTCACTGCAGACACACAAGTACGACCAGCAAAAAGGGTTATGCAAGTTAAGGAATCATCTGGATTCCTTACCACCTTCAAGATTTTCCTACACTACTGCCTATCTCCTATTATTTTACCTAGCCTTGTTCAGTCCTTCTGCTGTCACAAGTATGTAACCACCCTCAATCTGATTCAATAGGTAAGAGTGTGTCTATTAAAGTACTGTCACAAGTATTTATGTGAGAAGACCAGCTGAAAAGCTTTCTAAAGCAGAAATCTAGGCTTGTTCCAGGTTTGTGGTGAATTGTGTGAATTTATTTGCTTATCTAGAGGCAGTCTTAACTTGTATACCATCGTGTGATAAGGTTTGGAGATCACTAATTTCACAGAACCCTATAACTTAATTCATGTCATCTGCAAAATGTGAAGACAAAGGTTGCACCTTGCATAGCTGGTCTAGCATGTTGGTACTCGAAACCGCTGATTGGTGCTGGGGAAAGAAATCCAAAGCGAATTGCATAAAATATTTTGACACCTGGAAATAGCCAGGTATGTCAACTCATCTGAAATCCAAACTGTAACAAACCTCGTGTTAGGTCACATAAGGGGGTGACTGCTTAGCAGACCAGATGAGCGCATGCCAGCGCCAGTGCAGAGAATACATGAGAAACGAGTGGTGCAACAGATGAATGACTATACAGCCCAAACGAATCAGTCTTGACAGACCTGAAATATGGTGTTTAATAAGCTAGTACTGTGTTTTCATAAATATAAATCTGTTTCTTCCTAGGGACCACAAGCAAGAAATTACCTGGAGTTGAGCAATATGAAATAGTTTATCCAAGGAAATTGCACTCAGTACATAAAAGAGATGTAGAAAGAAACAAAGAGGTATTAAAAGAGATAACTTTTTTTTTTTTGCTGGGAGATGAGGAAGGTTTTCTGGAGTCAGAGTACCCTTGGTTTTCAAGGGGAAGAGAATTTGGACGCAGACACTCGATCTTGCAAAATGAAATGGAAGAGAAAACCTGGAAGAGTGACCCCATGTCTGGTAAAGACAGGTTGTGAGGTGTGCCCAGTATGCAGTGAAGTACCTGTACACCATCAGTGGGTCTTCTGTACTTGTATCTCTGCAAAGATGTAGGTTTTGATGCTACTCAAATTTTGAATAACCTACGGACATTTAATTTGAAGTAAATTAAATCAAATGCTTAAAACTAAGCATGCTCTTACATACTTCAACAGAGTTATGAAAATGTCTGAATTTAAGCATCCGCTTCAGCACTTTCCCAAATACGCAGGGTATGTGCTTATGATTGTAGAAATATATTTGCAAAGTTAAATTTGTTCCTCTAATTAAAAAATAGGAAACAGAGTGACCTCCTGCCTATTCTATAACTGCCAGAATACTTATTTTTGGTGGGAAGAGGAGGAAAAGAATGCAGTTGGCAACTCAGTAACAGCCAGTTCATAGTGAGGCCAGAAATTGTAACAGTCCATATTCTAACACTTAAATCTGTTTACAGACAAAATACGATGACACAATGGAGTATGGAATCAAAGCCAATGGAGAGGAAGTCACACTGCACCTACAAAAAAATAAGTAGGTTCAGTTCAACTTTTTCCTTGAGCATTACTCCTCACTGTAAATGGCTCTGTAGGGCATTCAGGATACAAAGACACAGGACTTAGGCTCCTGTAAGACAAATGTATTTTGGTAAATATGACCTTTCAGCTCCAATGAAAGAAGAAGAGGGGAGAGAAAGCATCATATCACTATCTTGGTAATGTGAAATAACTACACAGGCATATGACACTACCACGATGGAATGACTTGCCTACACTGCTAACTCTGTTCTCCCATTTATTTCCTAAATGGCTAAATCCACTGTATGTTTACTGTTTTCATACTATTTCACAAGTTTTCTGTGTCCATAGATAGTCTATGGGTTATATCTATTTGTTCTATGCTGGTAGAAACCACAGAGAACAAGAGAAATATCCATGAAATGGGGCTATCTGTCTTGGCTCTGCATGCTTTTCAAAAATGCAAAATAGTAATACGAAATGCAATAATCCTTAATAATTCGGGTTGCAGCACTCCCTACCTTAATACTACTGCTGTTGGACTTTGAGTAGTCTAACACATAGTGGCACTGACAACATGCTTTATGGAAATTGAAAGCCAGGAATGCTTACCTCCTTGACTGAAGAGATTAACAGCATTTAAACAGGCCATGTAGAGGGTATAGAGAAGCAGCGGGCTTTGTTACAGAACAAAGCATACAAAGAAAAGTCCAAAATTGTAGAGAGCAACACAAAATAAAGCACAGTTGTGATTTTATGCTTGCTGGCCCCACCATAATATTTAACATGGGACCAAACAAGTCTCCTTTAATAGGTACTTTTCTAATGGCTGTGTAAATACAGTAGTACTATAATCAGTTCATGTTAAATATAGACTATAATTAACTGTTTGCCCCTGTTTTAATCTAATCTAAATATTTGGAGGAAGGGAAGGGAAATTATATTGTACTAAATCCCACTCTCTAAAAAGAAATGGGATTGTGGCAGTTTGGGGTAGTTGCCCAAACAGAAGTGAATGTAGACTTGTTTTGCTGCTAGCTTTAGTAAGACTACAGCCCTGGCTTAAAGTTAAGCATCTGCTTAGTGCTCTGCTGCACAGGAGCCCGAGTGCATACAGCCTTGCAGGATCTGGCCTTCCACAGCAAATCACAAATGTGTAAGCTAATAAGAAACCCAAAGGCACCTTTCCAAGTGGTGGAAGAAACACAGTAATTTATTCCATAGCCATGATGTCCTCCCCTGAAGGTTCAGGAACACGTATGTGTCCAAAAATAGAGTTTTATGTAGACAGAAAAGAAAAATCAAGTTCACATAGAATGATTACGACGATGAGAACTTGCACTAGCACAGTTATAAAAAAGCTGTGAGCAAAAGAACTGGACAAATGTATGTTAGTGTGATCTCCGCACAGAATCTCTGAGTGTGTGCACATGTACACAAACATGCATGCACGGGCACACGTGAAACAGATGAGGCAGCTTTTCCATTGACCTAGATCTTTGCTATTAATAATCAATGGGGGTGAACTGGGAAGAGAACAGAACGGTTCCATTTCACACACACTGCGGAGTGGTGGAAATGACTACACAAATTGGAGGCCAAAAAAAGGATCAATACTGCATATATAATTATACATTTACTTTCAGATCTACTAAGAGATTAGCTTATACCAATGAAATAAGTAGACTTTAATTGCTTTCTTATTTTAGAAATGTCCCTTTGTTTGAGTAAGGATTACAAACAGGCAGAATTCCCCACCCAGCAGCTTCTAGTTTTTCGATACTAATAATAGCCCGAGTAATCATCTGAATTCCCTACATGCTTTGCGTGTTATGTAATTGCCTCATTTCTAGATGACTACAATTTATTTTGAATAATAATTGCACTTGACTCTTTGCAGGCACCTATTAGCTAGAGACTATACTGAAACAGTTTATTCTGATGACGGTCGACAAATAACAAGAAGTCCCCAGATCAAGGTAATAAAAAAAGGTTTCCTTCCCTCATACTTGCAGCCTTGAGGAGGTCCGTACAAGATTCATGGCTCCATGAAGTAATAGCACATATCAGACAGAAAGAAAAGGTTTTAAATCAAGGTTCTAAGCACTGTAATTTAGGGTGCCTCTGAAGGGACAGGGAAGATGTGACTCCTGACTTTGGCAGAGCTACACTGATTTATGCCTGTTGAGAATCAGACACACAGTTTGTCTTTCAAAAAGACGACCACTTTTCACCTTAGTGGCTGGTGAACACATTACCTGAGCTGGATCTCCCTCTGTTGTCAGGAAAGGGAGTGGAGCCAGGGCCATTCCACTGCCTTTTACGGCCTGACTTTGCCCTCCTGACTTTGCTCATTCTGCGAAACCCCCTGACTTGCTTTTACACCCTAATCTCAGTGAGATCATAGATTCAGATAAGGACGCATTTCCTTCACTGGCTCGCATTACCACCCACGCTCACAGCAAATGCATTCCAGGTCACCCCAGGTGGTTTCTCTGAGCCATGACAAATCAGTTCTTCAGATCCAGACACAAAGGAAGTCACTGTAGAAGTTATTTTTTAATTAACTGTGTACTCATGGGTCTTATCTTCAACAATGCTCTCACCTGAAGCTTTTTGTCCCGTATCATGCTATGTGTTTTAACACATGTAATTTGGACTACAAAGCCTAATATTTTTTATCATGGAGTGATTAGCAGGAACAGGAGGATCGTGAGTGAAATAAACGTGCATTAAGAATTCTGGGTTGGTTTTTTTGTAGAAAAAGATGCCACTTCTGATTGCTCCAATTACTTTCACTCTCTGAATGGATCCTGTGAAAATCAAATAGCACCTATGCCTGGTTAAAGACAATCTCAAACAGGCCTACCTGTGCAGCTTACTGAATAAGGAATTTCTACATTGTGGATACTTTGTATGATCTCAGGAGTTGTTTCTCTTGTATCCTCAAAGGATGGAGAGCAAGTCTCCACTTTTCTCTAGTAATTTTCACTTTGTTGGTATCTTTTTCACTGTAAGAAAGTTGGCACGTTGTGATGGAAGGAAGACAAATAAATGGTAAAGTGAAACCAAACATCCATTAAAAAAAAAAGGCACAATGCATGCAGGTTTCAATACTGTTACAGGGCTCTCAAGAAATCTGTTAAGGAAAATGCTATGGGTAAAATTTTCCACAATACCTCAGTGACTTTGAAGTCTCTTTGAACACAGAAGTGTTCATTAGACCTCAGATCCTTAAGTCAATTAAGTCATGGAAATTTTTCCCCTAATCATATGTTTGAATATAATACATGCATTTAAATCTCGTTGAAGTTAAAGCATTTAATTGTTGGGTTAATATTAAAGGGTGTTTCCCTGAAATTTGGCCACAATAAAAAATTCGGTATGGACCTTAATTCAGCAAAGCACATCAGTATACGATTAATTTTGAGCAGTGAATATGCATATTCTTCTTTTCATGTACTGTTGCGTATTGACCAGAGCCCACCACGACTGGATTTGTCACAATCTGGGTCGCTCTGTGTTGAAGGATAACAGTAACAGTACCACAGCAAACATGGAAATGGTCACCAGCTTCTTCCATTTTAAGAATCTCCTCTAATGGGAGATTTCCTCAGACAGCATAGTTTGTTGTAACCTGTAGCCAGAAATGTAGCTATGTCCCCTGAAATCACTGGATCTAGGTCAATTCCTTGCAGTCAGTGAGATATGGCCAAATTTGACAATGTATTTTTCCTTTCTAAACAGGATCACTGTTATTATGAAGGTTACATTCAGAATGATGCTGATTCCATAGCAAGCATCAGCGCTTGCACAGGTTTAAGGTAAGACAGAGGTTTGGTTCCCAAAGGGTACCAATGGCAGAACATGCATACTCTTTGAGGATAAATTTTCCAATTTAAATAGACTCAGGATGTAAATAAGCGGTGTTATCTTTTATTCATGCTTACAAGAAAACTAGTTTACAAAAAAAAAGGGGGAAAGAAAGGAGAAAAAAAGCTACCTTTCTACTTCAGTTACAGAGTTTATAAACTGGAAGCTCAAGGAACAACTATATCAATAAATTTATATGACTAATTCCATATTAGATCAGGCTGTAAATCACAGCATTTGGTGGTGCTTACAGTAAATGTTTAGGGTTGATGCTTCTAAGTTGTAGAAGCTCCACCGACACTTCAGGAGAAGGCTACATTATTTTCAGTGCTACAGCAGTTACAAGGTCAGAAAGTTCAAGATGCTGCATGAAAAGCTCAGTTAAAAGAATCTGCTCATTTGCGGTCGCTGAAGACACGGTGGCATAACATAAAATGGCAAGAGGGTGGCTGTTAAGTCTGAGAAGCTGCAGCAGAATGTTTTCCCAGCGGCTTGTGGTGTTTTGCCAAAACCCAGACTGTCTTTGTGAACACTTCTTGCACAGCTTTTGAGTTTACATGTTAACACAGAATGCTTATTTTGACATTCGCTGCTCGAAATGATTCAAAACTCTTAATTCCTTTCAATGTTTAAGCTTTTCATCTCAATTAAAGATGAAAACATATCTTTGAATTCCCCACTGAACTGAAATTCACTTTTCAATCACCTCTGTCAGCACAAAACCCCAAAATTTAAATCTAATTAACTCCTAAACCAGTTTCTTTTTGACTGACAGTCTCCTACTCAGAGACCTCACCAACCAGCCAGATCTTCCAATTGACTCAGCAGCTTTGATTTCTGCCTTTAAATTGTTGTACACTCTGCCTGCATGCTGACAAACTATTCCATTGCATCAGTGTGCAATGGTCCGTACGCTTGGGCTAAATGCTGTTGGAGATAATGTTGCTATCTTGACTCAGTCCTGCGGATTCAAAAGATCACACTCACAATCTAACTCTAATTTTCTTAGAGGATATTTTGAGACCCGTGGTCAGAAGTATCTTATTGAACCCTTGGGAACTTCAGATAGAGACAAACATGCAGTCTATAAGTATGAGAAACTCGAACAAAAGTCCATAAAAACCTGTGGTGTAATCAATAATACCTGGGAAGCTGATTCAAGTGACCCCATCAATGACATCTTCAAATCCAGCAACAGTCCAGAAGTAAGTACATACTTAAACAACAGTCCAGTAAGTACACGTCAGAAAAGAAATGGAGGCCATAGGAAAACTCAATGAGTAGCATATAAAGTCCCACTTTGCCTGGTGGCACCTCCAGAGAAGAAGCAACTGCAAACAGCGACACATAATCAGATCTTAAAAACTAGTGCAAAATCTCACAGATCTGAAATTTCAGAGTCACCACCTGAGTTAAGCTGTCTTGCATGTACTAATAGATGCCCATGTGCATCTTTAAACATCTAAATACTTTTTAATATCTAGCCTACCGTTCCTCATTTTAATAATCATTTTAATATCTAGCCTACCATTCATCACTTTAATAATTATTTTAATATCTACTCTACCTTCCATCATTTTAAGACAAGGCAGTCCCATTCTAAATGACTTGGCTACAGAAACACCCTCGTAATGGTTTGACATTGCAAAAGTTGAGCCTGAAACAGGCCTTAGAAGTCATTTAAATGTATCTTCTCTTTAGATGAAGGCATACCTGAAAGCAAAAAAATATCTGGAAGTTTACATAGTTGCAGACAACACTTTGGTGAGTACTGGAATGATTTTTTCTCATTTGACCAGCTAGAGGTGAGCTTTCCAAAGTAGGTACTACTCATTTCCCTGGGCTCCTACCACAATTACAGTGCTACGCTATCTTTTACCACTGACTTTGGCTAGGAATAGGATTTCCTAATGTCAAGTTATTTTGAAAATCCCCCCTGTAGATGATGAGAATTCAGAAAACACCGCACAGTGCCTGTCTTCTTCTGCACCCTACACATAGATACACATTTTAAAAGGGCCTGATTGTCTGATAAAATACTACATTGAAAAGATAATAATAAGTAGACCAGGTATGGTGTGGTTTGCGATGCAATCTTCTGTGGGATATTTGTTTTCTGATAAATCACTTTTTTTCTCTCCTTTTCCTAACATACTATATTTACTTTTTTAGTATAAAAAGTATGAGGAAGATGTGAAAACTGTAAGACAAAGAATATTTGGAATAGTCAATTACATCAACACGGTAAGAGTAAATAAAGCTAAGTGAAATTGAAATAGAAGTTTGGTTTTTTTTCTTTTGCAAACATCATGAATTTTCATTAATGCATGTAGGAAAGAATGAAAATTGAACTTCATTGTAATTTATGAAACAAATTTAGCACATCTGTCCACATTTTGCTGTTCTTTGTCCTCAGATATGAGATTTCTATAAACTCAATTATTGTTAAAGAAAGATTTATACCGTATTTTCTTAACAGCTGTTCAAGTGAATGATTGAAAACCTTCAAAAAGAATGAACTGATTTTCGATTCTTGATTTCTTTTGCAAATCAAATTTCTTCCAAAATATTGCTGGAATTTTCCAGTATTTTAAAACCATTTCTATAGTTGGTTTAAATGTGGGGGGAAATGAGATTTCATGTTTTGTTTTGTCTTTTTAATTTTTTGTTGCAACTTCAAAGTGCAGAAAAGCTTAAATTAGGTCTGGAGTGGACTATATTGCAAGTGACAAAAGTGAACCAATTCCCAGGATAAGTGTTTGTTTCAGAAGTCTTCATAACGTACTTCATTTTTACAGCAACACTGTTTCTCTGCTGCAGGTTTACAAGGCCATAAATATCTATGTGGCTTTAATTGGCCTAGAAATCTGGACAGATGGTGATAAATGCCTCCTGAGTCGTGCTGCAGGATTCACTCTGGACAGTTTCGCAAAGTGGCGTCTATCAGATTTATTAAAGAGGAAAAGAAATGACAATGCTCAGCTAATCACGTGTGTATCGTTCTGTTTCCTATTTGCATTTCCAAGTACGCTAAAGGAATTTGTTCTTTAAGAATTGGTCACCAACCCATCAGAGACACTGTCTATACTGAACCAGATTTCATGCTTTCCAATACCAGATTGTACTAATTCTAGGACAAAAAGATAAATGCATGCTCTTGTTTCTTGCTTTTATTTTCTTCATGGAGCACGACTACTAGCTAGGACATAGTATCTAATGTCTCTACCTGAATCCCTGCAAAAACAGGCAATGTGGACTTTTGCTACATCTCAGTCTCTCCTTTTACCTGCTCTGGCCACAGCTGAGTGTCCTGAAGACTGCAGCACAGTCTAACACCTAAGGAGCCATGACATGAAGTTTAATGGCTGGGAAATGCAGGTTGCCAAACTAAACCAGCACTCACTTCGCTATTCTGGCTCATGTTCAATGGCCCTGATTCATCCAAGCACTTTGCTACATTTAGAGCACTTCATCAAGCTCTTTACGCTCAAACAGATACTTTAAGTCTGATGAACAGCAATGTAATTTAAGTAAAAATTTAAAATTAAAAGCGTATTCAATTGTTTTCTGATTTGCTGTGATCTTAAGCATGTCCTCAAATATTGTATTAAATCAGGGATGCAAACCAGAGCTGGAAATAAGTATATGCTTAAAGCCTTCAGCCTGGTTAAGAAAGCAGACTGGACTTTAGATCTGCTTCCCGGTCACATCATTGCATTTCACTCTGCCTTTCTTCTTCCTTACAGAGGCTATGACTTTGAGGGGACAACGATTGGATTAGCCTTTCTAAAATCCATATGCAGTGATCTATATTCTGCAGGTATTATTCAGGTCTGATTTATTTTTATTTTATTTTTTAAAGGCTTTTCTATGTTTTTTACTCAACCAGCAAAGTACGTTTATGAAAATTATAGGGTGTATGACACTTTCAGTTTAGGACACTTTCAGTTCTCTGTCTGGTTCATAACATCATTGTATGAGACTGTAGAAATTCACAGTCAGAGATTTAACTTTAAATGAAGTGCAGAGGGTAAAGAAAGCACATGCAAAGCACGACATCTGTGTTACTTAAATGCCGACATTTGACACCTGTATTTGGAATACCAGGCCCCAACAGAGTCAAAGGAAAGAAATAAGTGATTTTGTGCCTCTACCTTAAGGTTTCCCGTTTTGAACAGGGAATTGGTTCCGACTGTCATAATGCAGATCATCAGTTTAGCCACTTAATTACAGCTGCCTAAACTACTGTACTTAAACTTCAGCCTACACAGCAACACAGATCCAAAACTTTACCAACAACACTGGGAACTCAACTGCTGCACCCAGCTTCAGAGGCTGGGCTTGTTGGTAAGAGGAATAACCCACATGAAATTCCAGCTTTCCCACACCATAAGGAAATCCTAGGATGATCATAAAACCAGAATGCTTTTCAAGTTGCGGGGATGCATTTTGTAGCAACATGATTTGCAATGCCGTGCTGGAAGAGCATGACCAGTACGCTGTGTCTTGTGCTTTATGCATTTCCACTACCACCTGCTGTTCATACATCTGGATCTCACTCAAAAGAGCAGGACTTTTCCCTTCCTCCCTCCCACCAAGCAGCACAAAACACCAACCTAAGAGCGAAGATGGAGCACAGCATCTGCCTTTCCTTTCTCTGCATGCACAACACTGTACACAATAGTTACCTTGGTGAAATGAGTAATAATTATATCGCACCCACGTAATTACCCTAAGCACAGAGACAGCTATCCAGAGAGAGGATTAAGAGTTTCAGATGTTCAGTTCCCCTTAACACTCAGTTGTTACTTGGCAGCCTAACTTCCTCATGTTTATTTAAAAACTAATTATACCAATTTACTCATGTTCATTAGTGGTATCATCTTATTGCTATTATAATATAATCCAGCATAAACTGTGGAATAGATGCATGCATGGATTGAACAACATATCAATCCTTATGTAGCAGTGAAGATAATTTCACCTGAAGAAAAATTGTCCTATTTCTTAGCCACAGGGCTTCTCTGATCTTCCTACTTGTTCTAAAATACTCATAGAAATAATAGCCTGTTCTTATCTCTACAGGATCATAATAGAAACGAAATTGCAGTTGCAGCTACCATGGCACATGAGATGGGACACAACCTTGGCATGAGTCATGACACCGAAGCCTGCACATGTAGTGCTAAAGTTTGTATCATGACAGATACTGTCAGGTAGGAGTTTGGATAAAAAGGCCAGGGCGTTAATGCACGGGGCAGTTAAGGATGGGCTTCGAGTAAGTTACCAGTTTCCAAAATGGAGCAGTAATTACTTTTGTTCTCTGAGATTATTCCATTCAAATTATACAAAAAGAAGAGGAAAAACGAAGAAATTCCAGGCCCTTGTAAGATATTGCCAGGGGGATACCTCGCCCGTGACCCCCCAAAAAAAACCCAAACCAAACCAAAAAACCCCTTTAGTCACTTTCGGATAACATTAGCTTTACATGTGTGGTGGGGGCCATTAAACCATAAATAATTTCTTCCTTACAATGATGACAGCATGAAACTGCTGTGGTATCTCAGATGACAAAGCTTCCCCAAGATTTACCTAAAGTATATTTTTGTTCTCTACCCTGAAGATGTCTCCTGTGAAAACAGCACAAAGTGCTTGCACCTTCAATAAACACCCATTAGATAGGAATTTAGTTCCATTTTCATCCGTAGTTGAACACCCTGAGCCTCTGCTGAACAGCCCAGTGGAAAACTCCTAATGCCTGAAGCATCCAGGCACAAATTATGTAGACCAGGCTTAAACCTTTGAAATGTGGGATTTATTTTATGCAGTGTTTACATTTCGTACATTAATTTTTTCTGATCTGTTTGTTTCCACTTTTTTTTTCTGCTATAAGTAGGAGACAGCCATTGTATTTATTAATATACAGATCCGGAAAAATGATTGCACCCAATAGTTTGAGGGATGGTCACTTTCTTCATTTCTCTTGTAAAGGGTATCGCTTCTCCTTGCCTATGCCGATTCTAATGCAAATCATCCTGCTTTCTCAATATAGTTCTATCATCCCCAAGAAATTCAGCTCTTGCAGCCTCCAAAGTTTCGAGAAATACATGTTGAGTGACATGCCAAAATGCTTAACAAACATCCCAGATATAAACAGCATCATAGCACCTCCATCCTGTGGAAATGGCTTTGTGGAAAAAGGAGAGGAATGCGACTGTGGTACTGCTGAGGTATCTGCCTAACCGGGAATAAAATAATACTTGGAAGAGGCAAAGAGTTTTATTCAGGCTGTACAATAGCTGGTTTCTGTTAGTTTCTGAGGTGGCCAGTTCAAAGCTAGCTGAAATATTTCTGTAGAAACTGTGGTCATCAAATTGCTGATCTGCAATGTAGTCACCCCTATAAAGCACATGCCAAATGGTGGGAAAGACGACTGCACGGTTTGTCATGCTGTGTTGACAGAGGAACTGAGGTCGGGGAAAAGCCATACATACGAAACCATCTTAGCAGAAATAAGCAAGTTCCCTGCACAACTTATGTCAGCACTTTCATAATCAAACACACTTTGCATTCTTTATGCGCTCACCCACCACGGCTGGCATGGCTTCTAGTGAAAATGGTTTTCAGAGAAGCAAAGCGCAGGTCTAAGATATCCTTCCCTCCCTCGATAGCCAAGTACAGGATGGTTCGTTGAGAACACAGTACAGAGGGGACCAAACCCTGAAGCAGTGTACCAGAGCTCTGATCGCTGATTCTGTCACAGGAGTGCACGAATGACTGCTGCGAGCCCGAGACGTGCAAACTGACGGCAGGTTCCACGTGTGCACACGGAGAGTGCTGTGAAAACTGCCAAGTAAGACTCCTTTTAATCTCTAGCTTCTCATATTTTTCGGGGTATTTTTTTTTTTTTGCCCGTGAGAAAGCAGTAATATACCTTTCAAAAGAGCCAATCCTTTTTACTTGTAATTACTGACATAGCACTGTAGTGACACGCACACTTTGTCCATCCCAAACTATACCTCGACTATCAATTCACTCAATCTTTCAACATCCTGGAGAAATGAGCATTTTGATTACCCATTTTCTCCTGGAAAGAAAAGCTGAGGCACGACCAGGCAAAAATCTTGTCAATTGACATAACCAACTTTACATTAGATACAGATCTGGCCCCTCGTGCAACTTGTACAGTGAGGATGAGATTTGTCTCCCCTAATTTTAGCCCTCTAGTTCAGTGTGATTTTTAAATGGCATGGAAGAGTGATGTGTTAACTGTGGCACTGCTTTCCCCCCCACTTCAGTATAAAAAATCAGGAGCTATTTGCCGAGCAGTTAAGCATGACTGTGACTTGGCTGAGATGTGCACCGGCTTTTCTGCAAATTGCCCACCGGATCGATTCCGTGTGAACGGATATCCCTGCAACTACGGCAAAGGCTATTGCTACATGGGAAACTGTCCCACCCGAGAAAACCAATGCAAAGCTGCTTTCGGACCACGTGAGTACAAGTTGCCATTGAAAAAATCAAGTTGCCTAAGTCAAAGGAGAGAGAGGTAGGCTTTGTCTGCTAGCAAATCATCAAAGACCTTTTGTAAATCAGGAACAGCATGTCTATATATATGAGTTCTAATTTGTAGCATACACTTAATTATTATTCTTACATTTAACACTGTAAGTGATTATAATCATGTGAGCTGAATCTTGGAGCATACAATGCAACGTATTTCTAGAGAAATGGGAAGTGGTAAGTGTATTCCTCTTTTGCACAATGCTTTTAAGATAACTTTGGAATGGAGCTGAGTGAGTATTCTTTGCTTGATAGGAAGAGGAAATGTTTGTATTTCAAATTAATGTCCAAATTTAGCATGCCTTTATGTTTCTGAAGGTGCGTGGTGGCTTACCCTCTTCCCAGTCCTAAACCATCTCCAGTTCTGATTATGCCCCTTCTCTTAGGCAAGGTCTATTGGTTTGTACTGGATAGAGAGAGAACACACAGGATAGGTTCTGCTGTGTGTACACAGCGACATTGCAGAATTAATGCGTGAAGTGCCAGAGTCATTTAGGCCCATGGGTAACTTCACTGGGAAAGGCCAGTTTCTAAACAGGTAAAGGAAATTGAATATTATTAGTTTTCACAGGCAGAGAACCTAAACTAATCCCATTACGTTCTCCTCTTTCACAGAGGCTACTGAAGGTGCAGCTTCCTGTTACCGGATGAACGAGAAAGGGGTATATTACGGATACTGCAGAAAAGAAAAAGGTAGTCACGTCCCGTGTGAAAAAAAGTAAGCACTGTGTTACAGAATTTGCTGGGATTTGGGAAGAGAGATCATTCCTATTCAAACTAAGAGACAGAAGCAAAGAGCACACTATTTTAGACAGCACATTTGTCCATGTGTCCCTTCTTTCTGTTCAGTTTGAATATTGTGGTAATGACAATTCTGAGAAAACTAGTTTCCAAATCATGAGATCAGCCTGAGAAAAAGCAAGTGTGTACATATATATATGTGCAAGCCTACTTGTGAGGATGACTGCGTGTGTGTGCACGCATGGGCAGGTAAGTACAGGGAAGGGATTTTTGAACAGGGAACTTGAACCTCAGGTGAACCTCAGAATTTGAGCACAGGTCAGTTAAATACTCATTTCTGCAAATTACTGTGGGCTCCCTAATAAGCTCAAGAGGAATTAAGAACCTGCCACCTTCTACTGACAAACCGACCTGAAAACACCACAAACCAAAATTCCTTTCTGCAGCTATTTCTTTTGAGTTCCTGTATGGACACAAAAAATTCAAATTGGAGAAGAGACCAGCTCAGATACTTTTGCTGTGCCATGTCGTTGTTCTAGCAGCTCTTGTTCTCCTTCCAGAGATATAATGTGCGGAAAGTTGTTCTGTACTGGGGGGAAAGAGATGCCTCGGGACGGAAGCCTGGTGACTTTTGAGTCCTGCAAAGCAAGTTTTCCTAGAAATGGAGAAGCAGACCACGGGATGATTCTTGATGGAACAAAGTGCGGGAATGGGATGGTTAGTAGAGAAAAGCTTTTCTCCTTATTTTTTCTGCTCTTTCAGTCTTGCTTATATCGTTAGCTCTTTTACCAGACAAGAAAGATTACAGGGAAGACTGAAGTGGACACTAAACTTCTGCTGATCTGAGATGCCATACCTTCTGCCTTACATCTATTGCGAATCAGTAGCAAAGCAAACAGGAACTGCTATCGTTCCGATTTCCTTATGCTTGACTGTTGTCTTATTATTTTTCAGTGACGCAAATATACGTGGCAGCAGAAACATACCTTTGTATGAAGGGTTAAAAGATCACACATATATTACTATTTTTAATTATTTCCATAATGGATGTGTTAGGCATCACTGAGTGCTATGTCCAATTTCTTTGCTATATATTTCTACTTGAGGGGGGGGCGGCAGGGAGGATGAAGGATTGAAGAGGAGTGGAAAGCAGTGATGTCTGTATATCTTTGTCACTCCCCTTTGCTATAAAATACCCAAAGGTCAAATGACAAATTATATCCACATATCAAACTCCTAATGTAGGTTTAAATGATTTGCAGACCTGTTTCTATGCCTCCTTTTACTCTTCATCACTTTACACAATAGTGTGCAAGCTCTGCATGTTCTGAAAGCCATAAATCACTTTGGTAACATTTGCCCTGTACATTTCAGGTGTGCAGCAATGGAGAATGTGTTTATGCTGAAGATGTCTTTAGATCAACTAACTGCTCTGCCAAGTGTACTGGACATGCTGTAAGATATGAGCATTTGATGCTATTAACTTAAAAAAAAAAAAAAAAAAA